ATTAAACGTGGAACATCGTTCGTAGTTTATGCTCGCAGCACGTGACGAAGACGGTATTATTACTTTGTAACGCCCAACTGTTTACCACCCAAAAAAAAAAAAACACCCAACTGTTAAGTCTTATCACTTCGCCACGTGTCCTTCTTTTCTTAATCTATTTTCAGATTCTATTTTGCTAAAAAAAAAGAAAAAGAAAAAGAAAAAGAAAAAACCCTTCTTCTCCTTTCTCTCTCTTAACACTGAAATCTCTGCATTTTCTTAGCTAATTTCCCCTTGAATCGCATCGATCTCTCCAAGGAAAAAGTTTACCTCGCTTTCCCTCACTTTCTCTCACTTTCTCTCACTTTCTCTCTCTCCCAATCACAATGATCTATATCTCTCTTTCTCCTCTTTGTTTTCACTTCCTTTTTCTGATTTCATAAAGATCTAGGGTTTTCCCATTCCTAATGACCTTCAAATCTGAGTTTGTCTTCCTTACATTTCTCTATTTTGCAATCATTTGTTGACAATTGATCATTGGCAATCCGTTGTGTTTATGAATCTGGATTTATTAATTCTGATTCATTGGAGTTGACGATTTTTGGTGGTGGGAGCTGTGTTGAAGTTCCAGGGTTTGGTGATCTGTGTTCGAAGTGGTGGTGTCGGTTGGTTATGTGAATTGGTGAGGATGGAGACCGCTGTTGGAGATGTGGCCTGTTTTGACGCGGAGCTGTTGCAGCTTTCGGAGATGTCTCCGATTGCGCTCAAATCGTACCCGGACTTCGCTCAGAAGCTCTTTGAGCAGTGGCTTTCGCTTCCTGATGCTAACAAGCTGGTACCATTTGATTTGATTTGTCCCCCTTTTTTTTTCCCTTGCTCTGGTTACTGTAGTTTGTTGAAAATATAAAAATAACTTGAATTCTGTTCCTTGATTTGATTTGTTCAATATAGAACATACTTTCCATTGCTTTGTTTTGGTCCGTGATTAGTTGATCCATTGATTTGATTGAACTTGAATAAAATTGTGTCTTTCGATGCATTAAATTTATAATTTGTTGATATATGAAGTAAGCTTGCTGTTGATTTCCTTCTTTTTTTATTTTTTTAATGCCATGTGTATATGCATGTACCTATCTGTGTATCCATGCATGAAACTGTATCAAAAATTGTTTTGATTATTATTTTCTTGTCATTTTTCCTCGTTCTGAACTTTTACAGAGCATGTTGTAACCTGATGATCAAAAAATGGTTGGTTTAGGCAATCAATAACAGGATTAACGAAAAATTTATGTGCTTGGGTCTTGTAAGAGACTGATAATAAATATTCTTAATTTATTTAGATGCTGCTGTCAATTCATAGACTCAATAGAGCAATGAACGATTGAATGGATGCAAAAGGAAATGACTGATGGAATTTTGTTAGTTGTTGATTTTGTATTCACATTTTTTGGACAGATGTTCTTCATTTACAAATATAACCCATTTTTCTTTATGCGAAGTAAGCATGACCCTTGTTCTTTTGGTTTGTAACAGTTTTATGTCCTGTCTAGCCAGTTGGCCCTAGTTCTTCCCTTGTCCCCTCATAATGAGAGTTTATGCAAACCTACAGTTTCATCTGAAGTCCATCTTTGGAGGTGGAATCTTTGCTTAATTCTACTGATTTTATTTTTTTAGGTGACATCATTGCTTAATGATGCAAAGGCTGGTAATCCCTTGAATGTCCCTGGGAATTCTTCTAGTCCAAGTTCTACTACAAGCAACTCGTTACCTTCCATGTTTCCTGCTGGAAGTGCACCTCCCCTTTCACCAAGAAGTACATCTGGTTCTCCTCGAATAACAAAACAAAGGCTTGGTCCATCAAACTTGGGTTCTCCTTTGAAAGTTGTTAGTGAGCCTGTAAAAGAGGTCATACCTCAGGTAGCCTGCCATATTTACTCATATGCTAGCTTTTTTTCCTCCCTAATGTTTTTAGGTGAAGTTGTCTTCCATTATGAAAAGTTGGTGACGTTTTCTAATATTAAGATTTGAAATGCTTGCAGTTTTACTTCAAAAATGGTCGTCCTCCACCACATGAACTAAAAGAGAAATTGATAGTTCGAATCAGTCAATTTTTTGTTGGCCATCCAGATGGGCTTCAGATGCATGGTGAGATATTTATAAGCAACAATTGTTGCAGCCGTATTTCTAGAAATAATTTTTTGTTTTTGTTTTTCTCTTTCTACATGCCAGAATTTAAACTGCTCACTAGGGAAATCTGCAAGTTGCCTGGTTTCTTCTCCACATCCCTTTTCAGAAAGATTGATGTTAATGGCACTGGTCTTGTTACAAGGTACACCATTTGTTCAAAGGTCATCTTTGTTTGGAAGCCAAAAAAGATCATCTCTTTTTATATGGTGCAATATATTTCAGATTAAAATTTAAAAATGTGGATTACTCTTTCTTCTTCTTAATCCTTTTCCTCCTTTTGTTTTTGTAGTGTCTTCTTTAAAAAGGCAGTCCCTTAAAGGAAAATATAAAACAGGGAAACAAGGATTTCTAATATGCTTTCGTGTGATGTTCTGAAAGTTCAATGAAATAAGGAAGATGATAATATTACTTTTGAATTTAAGGAATTTTTAGGTACGATACTGGGAAAATGTTCGGAAACTGGAGTTTTTGTTTTAATCTGGTAACCCCTAAAATTCCAATTTCTGCAGCTCCTCAAGTTTCGGGGGTTCTATTAGAAGCTCATTTTGCAATTGTCATTGTTTGACCAAACACCAATATTAATTCCAAGTGTGAATGATGGACCATCTGATAGCCCTGCCCAATTGGTCTTCATATCTGAAATCAGGAATAAATAATAATTGAGTATCAATTAGCATGCTTTTGGCTGAAGACTGTTGTAGAACTATTTGAAGCATAAATTTATCTTGATTGTGAGTCATCTGCTAGTCAGGAGTTCTTTTATAATCTTAGGAGGAATGCCAGTTTAACTTATTAATGAATTGTGCTTTTATGTAAGAGGTTGATATGTTTGTCATCTTGTGATTGTGTACCATTTATAACTGCAGGTGATAAAAATTGTCTATGAAGTAGGATTTGTTGTAATCATGAATTATGATATACCAAAAGGGTGTAAAACTAATTGTTTTAGTTTTTAATTTTCATGTTACTTTATAATAGTATATATTATGTTCTATACATAATCCAATTTTCTCTAGTTTTCGTTGGTTGTGGCTAAGTTTTCTTTTACCCTGCTTTCAGAGGTGCATTTGTTGATTATTGGGTCAATGGCAACATGTTGACCATGGATATAGCAACTCAAATATATACAATATTAAAGAAACCAGATCTCAAATACCTCACTCAGGTATTTTCTTGTCTGTAGATAACTATACATGGCCATGCTATGTGTTCTTTTCATTTGTTTCAGGTTCTAAATCATGCAATTACTACCTGATCCTCTTACCCAGATGAAATCTTCATTGTATTTAGTGTTTGTCATGGGTAAAAATTTTTCCCAGTATAAAACTTATGTAGTATTAGCCTGGTGATCTAGGCATGTTTTGCTTGATTTCTATCTTCAAATTATCATATTAGAATATTTTCTATTTTATAACAGGATGATTTCAAACCTGTGCTTCGAGAATTATTGGCTACTCATCCAGGTTTGGAGTTCTTACAGAGTACACCTGAATTTCAGGAAAGATATGGTATGTTTTTAGCCTTTGTGTTAGCTTTTACAGAGTATAACTTTGGCCAAACTAATTCTCGCATGAAAATTGATGACTCTAATAGGAAGTTTATTGGAATATAATTAATCTTAAGGAATCATTAAGGTAGTTGCTGGCACTTGCAGCCTATAGTTGTAATTAATGGCATTGAAATTCATCATTTCAGTCTCTGGACATCCATGGAGATTGCATTTTGTAAATGGTTTTTCCTTTTATAATATGCATTAACTTGACTTTTATTTCAATTGGCCAGCTGAAACTGTAATATACAGGATATATTACTACATAAATAGATCTGGGAATGGTCATCTCACCCTTAGGGAGTTGAAACGTGGAAACTTAATTGATGCCATGCAACATGCTGATGAGGAAGAGGACATTAACAAAGTTCTGAGGTAGAGATTGGTTTTGATTCTCCATCTGTAGAGAATTTTTAAGTCTTTATATCATTAAGAGTTTGTATTGCAAACATGTCCTAAAATCAAGAATATGATTGTCAAATTTCCTCACAAGCATGGTACATTCCATGTTCTGCTTAATATCTTTTTTCTTTCTTTTTAATTTAAGTCTTTTGTCTTATTTTCTAAAAAATATTATTTATGCAGATATTTTTCCTATGAACATTTTTATGTCATATACTGCAAGTTTTGGGAGCTGGATACAGATCATGATTTCTTGATTGACAAGGAGAACCTTATCAGATATGGTAACCATGCACTTACCTACAGGATTGTTGACAGGATATTTTCTCAGGTTTGTCCAAGTTAGATGATGCTTCTGTTCTCTGGATCTGACTACCTTCTATTTTTTCAGAAAGAAATTTTCATTCTATTGAATATTGTTTATCTTGATCTCTTCTTATGTTACTCTTTTATCTATTTCATTTATTTATTCTTAACATTGGTAATAATCACTTCTGTCAACGCTTCTATATCATCTAAGGTACCAAGAAAATTCACCAGTAAGGTAGAAGGGAAGATGGGTTATGAAGATTTTGTCTACTTCATTCTAGCAGAGGAAGATAAGCCATCTGAGCCTAGTCTTGAGTATTGGTATGTTTTGACATCTTCTGTACTCATCTATTCTTCTCAAATAACAATGAGTGAGGTTTTTCTGTTTTATTCTGTGGGAACTCAAATGAAAAGGTTAACCAGAACCAATTGAAAGCCATGTCCTTGTTCTATAGTTCAGGGTCATGGTACTGGTAAAAAATGAGTTTTGTCTAAGGCTAGTTAGTCATTTCTCTGAGTTCTAGTGTATTGTCTTCTCTTGTGAGGCATTGCAGTGGGTTTGTCTACTGGGTTCCTAAAGCATTTTTTTATTATGTACTGCAGCCTTAGGGTGCAAAATTATTGTTGAGAATTGGATAAAGGATGGAGCTTGTTTGTAGGTGACATGCACTAAAATAATATCGACATGTTTGTTTGTTTGCTTCTTGTGTGCTATCAAATTATCAATTCAATGATAGAACAATAAAATGTTAAAGGATGGAGAGAGAGCTGTGGTGAGAGGGAAAATTGGTTGCTTATTCTCTGCTGTCTTATTTTGACTTCCCTCTTGTTTCCTTTTTGATAAATCACAATAGCAATGTTGTCATCCCATGACCTAGTTTCTAGTGAAAGTCTCGTGAGTATATTTGAAAATGTATTATCTTCTTTTTTTGGATAACATTGGTATTTGGACCTGTGATCAACCATCCAATGGGTACTTGCAAATTGCCCTGTACAAGCACCAGTTAAGACACCACCTTCGAGGGTGGTAGGCATGGCCCATAGGAATTGTCTGCACCCAAATGGTGTTGAAGCTATTCAAACATGCGCTATCAACATGGTTCAAATCACACCTTACTCAACACATCATTTGAAAATGTATTATCCTTAGAGATAAAGAAAGCTTTCTTTCTGCTCTGCAGTAAAAAAATTCAGAGACGATAGAAAGTGCTGGTTGGGAAGTTAGTATGAAATTCAGTTTTTACTTTAAGAAGAGAGTATGGATGACTGGTTTTATTTTGTATAAGTTGCTTACTAATCCTCAGGGAGAGGAGTAAAATAGTGTTTTTGAGAAGGGAGCTTTCCAATCATGGGGTCTAAGTTTCCATTTTGTTTGGTTGTGTTAGTTCATATCAAACTTGATGATAGCATCACTGGTACTGTTTTTATTCCTATTTTATGCAAGGTTCTTAGTAATATTTTCATAAAAATCTGTCTTTAAAATAATTATTTAAGAAGTGAGTTGATATTTTCATTGTTACTGTCAGCAACTGAGACACGACATTCTTTTATAGGTTCAGATGTATAGATATGGATGGAAATGGAATCATAACTCGCAATGAAATGCAATTCTTTTATGAGGAACAGTTGCATCGAATGGAATGCATGGCTCAAGAACCTGTGCTCTTTGAGGATATCTTGTGTCAGATAATTGACATGATTAAACCAGAGGTTTGCCTTCTCATCTTTGTTAGCTTCCTTGTTTATTGAAGTGCATGTGGTAGAGTACTGAAAGAAATGACTTTTAATAGTCCTCTGTTCTATGTTGATTTATGATTCTATTGAAATGTAAACCATGCCTGCTAAATACCATTATCTAAAAGTGTCTTTGCAAATGCTGAGATGGTTTCTTTTTCATTGTGTCTCTTGAAGAAGGTTTTGCCATCTTGCTTTATAGTAAAATTATATAACGTAAGCTGAATGCTCTTGCCCTGTTATAGAGTTAACTGGTTCTTGACTTCTGGGAAGTTAGCATAGGTTATGAAGTTGGGAGTTAAGCCTTAGGAGTCATTTTGCCATGGAAACTGCATTTGAGTTGGTGGTTAAGTAAAGAGATTGTTTTACATGTTTGACATGACCTGTTCTTGTTTGCAGAATGAGAGCTATGTTACATTGCGTGATCTGAAAGGTTCTAAACTTTCAGGAAGTGTTTTCAATATCCTTTTCAATCTTAATAAATTCATGGCCTTTGAAACTCGTGATCCGTTCCTCATTCGTCAGGTACACAGAACTCCACAGTTATTCACTTAGAATTTTATACCTTTACAAAGGAAAGAAACTGTTGTAGTTACTTGCATGACAATAATGGCAATGGCCTTGACGATGTTGAAACAAACAGGAACGTGAGAATCCTACTTTGACAGAATGGGATCGTTTTGCACATAGAGAATATATTCGGCTTTCAATGGAAGAAGATGTTGAGGATGCCTCCAATGGAAGTGCAGAAGTTTGGGATGAATCACTTGAGGCTCCCTTTTAAGTTACACTGGGTGGGCTACTTCACTTTATCTGTTTCTTTTTCGTAGAGAGGAGATCAAGTACTAGCTCTTGTTTGTTCTTATTCATGAAAGCTGCATTCTCCCTCTCTCTCTCTCTCTCTCTTATGAAAAGAACATTGCATTGTTAGTACAGGTGCATGCAACGTCATACATTTAATTTTTATTTTTTGTTCTTTTT